GTGTGTGTGTGTGTGTGTGTGTGTGTGTGTGTGTGTGTGTTTTGGGTCACCCTCTCTCCGCGCTGCGCTCTGGATCACTCTCAGCTCGGCGCATCTTCGAGCTGTTGGAAGAAATTCCCTCAGAGCAGGAGACGAGCWGAGAGACCCCATCAAGCAAAATTAGTTTCATCAAAACAAACTGTTAATTTTCAGCGGGAGAAACTCTCACGCTTGAAGCTCGGCTCCTTGGATCGGACTTGTTTTGGAGTTTTACTGTGTAGCAATCCGTGGGGGGTGACTCAGAGAACTGATGAGCGCTGCTTGCGGTGGGATTGTTTCATGTTTTGGAGGAAACTCTTGGCATTGGGAGACGTGGTGAGCGCACAAAGCCCGGACACTGCAGCTGGAGGAGATGCTGCTGCAGAACTGAGAGGAGAGGAGCTTTTCTTGGTTCTTCCTGAGGATCGACCAGAGACTGACGTTCGTTCCCCAGCAGCTTCCTCCGTGTTGTTGTCACCTTTGTTTGTGAGGGGACAATCATGTTGCTGAAGGAGTACCGCATCTGCATGCCTCTGACTGTGGAGGAGGTGAGTGGAGTTTTATTATTTTATTTTATTTTATTTTATTTTATTTTATTTTATGCTGTGTTTTCCCTCAGAGCTGCAGAGGCTGCCAATGCTTTGTGTTTCTGTCTCTGGACGGTCTGCTGCAAAGTTGGCAGCGATGGCTTCTTGTTCTGTTTTGCACCAAAGCTGCTGTAGTAAAGAGTTGTGTTCAGGAAGCCGCCGCTGGGTGGCGCTGTTGATTGTTTGGATTTAGGAGCAGAAAAAAAATCAGTTTTGTGACTGGTGTAGTGAATAATATTTTGGATTATATGGGAGTCCATTTGCACCACTCTGAAGAAAACATGTTATTTGTTTGGTAATGTTRCTTCAAATTAAAATCGTTTTTGGTAGGTTATTTCTGGCTTTTGAAATCCTGAAGTGTTGTGTGTTTTCTGTTCCTTTCAAATAAATTAATAAAAACAAATCAAAGTATAGCAAATTATTTAATTATAACACAGTATTTTCATAGTTTTGAAATGTTGCCGCCTAATTATGTCCTGCGTGATGTTTTTCCTTCCCAGTGGTCAAAATAATCTATCTACCCATCTATCTCCATCTTTGTACCTACAACTCATCCATCCATCCATCCATCCATCCATCCATCCATCCATCCATCCATCCATCCATCCATCCATCCATGCATCCATCCATGCATCCATCCATCCATCCATCCATTCATTCATCCATCCATGCATCCATCCATCCATCCATCCACCTTTCTTTCTATCTGCTGTTTTTGATCATCTGTCATTTTAAAGGCTTAAGTACAAACTGAATGATCTGTACTGGTTTGTCTGGTTTGTCATTACTCAGATGTGCAGGATGGAGCTTCTAGTCCCACAGATTTAAGAGGCAGCASCTCCAGCACTCAGGACAACCCTGACAGGAGAGTTTGGAGTCAGAAGTGTGAACAGATGGTTGAGGACAGGGGGGGTGTAAAGCCGGAACAATCGTCGCTAAAACGAGGTGGTGGCCTATGACGTCAGCTACATTAGGATTTATTTTCCGTCCTGCCATCCCTCCCTGGCTGGACTTCCCTTCATTTAGTTTCATGTGACTCAAACGACATTTCACCTTTTGTTAAGCAACAGAACATGTTCAGTTCCTGTTCAAAATCAATTAGATTTGAGAGGTGAGCTCCAAGAATCCCCTCAGAAAGACTCAGGATAAAATCCTTTGGTGACATGTTATCACTGATGTGTGTTTGGCATATGAGTTTGACTGTGTGCATATTTATGATCATATTGCTGTTGTTGTCATAGTATGGTGCAGGACTTCCTGATTATCTTTATGATTTAYTGAGAACCAACAAAACAGACAGTTTACTGACTTCAGCTTGTTGCAGCTGTTTAAGKTTATCACAAGGCAGATGTTTCTGGCCCTCACTGCAAAGCA